CAAGAAATCATTTTATTTAGTCCATTGAAGAACACGTTCATGATCTTTTAACTTACTACAGTAAATGTGAATTCTAGAAATATGTTACACAGCTCCACACTTACATTACGTTTTCATTGTTTTATTCTCTTGCTTGTAAGGCTCTTACTACATTGTTTACTAACATATTAAATTCTCAGGGGATGAAAATAATTATAATAATACGGATTGGGATTTGTTTTGCTTTTTACCTGAATTGGAATGAGGAAAAAAGAGTCTACAAATTATTTTGGCTTTGTTTCAGTTTTTAGTTTTAAAATCAGGTACATTTTCTTTCAGAAAACTGAGGCATGGGAGAGCGAGAAGACTGAGGAAGACATGGAAGAGTATATTTGGGAAAACAGCTCCTCGCAGAGAAATGCCCTGGCTACACTACTTCAAATAAAAGCCACGGAGAATGTCAGTAATGTAACTAAGGAAGAGCTTCTTGCATCTGAAGTAGTTAGAAATTACAGAAACTCTGTAATTGCACTTAAAAATGAAGGTGAAACAGAAAGTAACATGTCTCAGTATAAGGAATCCGTGAAAAAACTATTAAATATACAAGCATTACCATGAAAGATTCTGCAGGTACATTTAGTTATTACAGAAATACTAGATTATAATATGTTGATATTACTGTATGATATGGGTTCGGAACTTTAACCAAAACTATGAAACTTGTTGATGAGTTAGTCTTGAAAGTAGTTAGATTTTTCTTTTTTTTTTTTTTAAGATTTTCTTGTAAACATAACTGTCCAGGAATCTTGTTCTTGAATAAAGTATGCCTTAAGTCATATATTGGTGACTTGAACGTTCTGTTCGGTACTTTTGTCATGGTTCTATGTTTTTTGTTTTTGGGTTTCAGTATTCCACATCAAAACATCATGTAGTGTACGGGGCATTAAAGTGTCACTGCCCCAATTCCAAGTACCTATCCCTGTACATTACAGAAGTCACGGGATCTGGCCCTTCCGGGTGGGGGGAGGCACTCTTTTTGCTGCCTTGCAGTGGCTGCTGGAGGCTGCTTTCCTAGCCGTTCCAAGCTTTTCAGGTTTGACTCGGTCCCGGGAACTCTCATCTTGTCTGATTTATTAATCTCAATTTCAATTAAATTGTATATATTGTGTTATCTTGCATTCCAGTATTATAGTAAAATAAGTTTTCCTCCATAGATTGTTGCCGCTGTTCTTTTCCTCCCTTCTTTCCTTCCCATTTTTGTGGGACTGGGGTGGGGGGGAGGGCAGAGGCCTGTTGCCCCCTGTCATGGACATAGATTGATCTAGTCAACTCCGTGACTCCGTTTCTTAGCCTGAGAAATCCTGTTTTCTGTGTTTATTCACATTCTGACTTCTCACACAACTTCTTTTGATGTATTATTTTTGAAAACTTTCAAGTTATGAAATGGGTTGGGTTCCAAGTTCCATTAACTTAATTAAGAGATCCAAAGTTTTTCAATGCTTTCCAAGCATCTCAGATTTTTTTCTACCTCAGCTTCCTTTCTGGAAAGTAAAGATTGTGTTACCTAAGTTTAACTGTTGGAGAGATGTTGAAGTACACTGAGTGATATGAGGTTCTCGGTTGACATCACAAGGACTAACATACTCTAAATTAGGATACAATAATGGAACAAAATATGGCAAGAGACCTAAGAACCACCTTTATTGTATGTGCTTACAACCTTTTATACCTGTGCAACAACTTGGTCGCATGTAGAACCAGGTACCTTGTGTGTGTTTACATCTGGCTCACGTAGTTGCTGAGCTTGTTTACTCATTTAGCAAGGTAATGACTTTCACTGTCCCACAACAAAATAAGGTACAAAATGGGATGAGGATTGCAAGATGAACTGACAGTTATTTGGGAAGAAAGAATGAGGGTTGCTGAAATTGAGGGCTGGTGGAGTGGTGAGGTGAGTACACTGCCTAAACAGGAATGGATTGAGTCTTAGTACATTGAGGCCTTCTGTGTTCTTTCTTGTGTGTAGTATTCAGATTTGGCAAGGAAAAAATATGTGTAGCTTCCCACTTAATAAATAATAAATTCCTTTTTGTAATAGATAGCAATTAACTTCATCCTTTGTTCATCATGGACTTTAAATGGATTTAAGTAGATGCCTGTGACAGTTGTAGTTCAAATAAATTTGACTTAATAATACCAGTAGAAAGAGCTGCAAAGGAAGGCAAATTGATTTTTCATTTTATTACGTTAGCATTTCATTAACTTGGCAGCTAATTCATGAAAAACCTAAAAATAACCAGGCTTCTAGAGTTCTCTCAGAAGTATTTGAGCCAAGCTTATTTATGTTCTATAAATGCTTCAGAAAATAAGACAAGATAAAAGCTGACATCTCAGTGGCAGGGCATCAAAGTGGTGGATCGTGACACCCCACATGAGTGGTGTTTGTTTTTTTTTCTCATTCTAGCTATTTAATGGGAATTGCTTAGAACAATACTGGGACTAATTCACTATGTTCCGTTAACACATCCAACACTTACCATTAAATCAAAGATACCAATTTTCCAGTCATTTCTGGCTTACTGACTCTTTGGTTACAGAATGCTTGGCCAAATGGCTTTAAAAATCTACAACATTGACCTCCAACTTGCTTTTCAATGTCTTTGTCACTTCCTCTCCTTGCTAAGAAACATATGAGCAAGAATAAGATCTTTATAATCCTGCAAGTGCTCAGTCTAACTGCTAGAAAGGAAATATCAAATTCAGCTGCATTTGTGGTTTTAGCTAATGATCTGTGTTACAGTGCAGAATTTGTGTAATGCAGTAGACTGGATCACAGGTAGACTGGATGATATTTTGAGCTCTCATCTTCAGTATTTCTTACTTCTCCCTCAAAATTGTTTATGTGTTTAGGGGTGACAGTATTTTGCTGTGATTTTGTAGAATACGTAAAACTCTGGGATCTTAACTCCAGTGTGAATCCTTCCGACTTTTACTGTAGTTTAAAAGCTGTGAAGAGTTAAGAGTAATAGATTTGCAGGTTATAGTAGTAAATACTTTACTACTATATCTTTACTACATCTTTATCAGTGGTCTGTATCATATGTTATAATACAAATGCATGACTCTAAGATTTGTATCCCTCAATACATCTATGTGCGAGTGTATGTACACATTCTAGTACAGGGAAGTGCTCAGGGTTTATGTTACTTTTAAATGGCAATGAAGATAGTTAACATATAAATTAGGAATCAGGGCAACTCCCCAGTGCATAGACTGGGAAGTAAGGTGGAGCAGAAAACGATATACAGTATTTGGAGACATTGTCTCTCTCCTTGGGCAATTATTTTACTGGTGATTACTGGCCAAATGGCAGGTTCCTGACAGCCCTGACCTCAGGCAACTCTGTCCATCACCAATTGAAACTTGAACAGGAAGGCTACTAGATGTACTTCTCTGCGGTCATTGCTTCTCTAACCTCCAAGTAGCAGATGCCTTATTTCAAATCCAAACACTTGTCTCCGCAAACTGGAAAAGTTCTTTGCTGCAAGGGAAAAATAAGCTGCCTCCAATGGGAAAAAATCACAGAAGTTAAGTTCTTGGCCCTCTGAACGAGTTCTGATGCATAGTTTCACTGGTGCTGTTGAGGAGCCTAACTTTTCTTTTATCTCCCATATAAACATTCCAAAGAAAAGTTGAAATCTGATGTTAGGTCAAACAGGAAAAGAACTTGCTTTGTCAGGATTCTGACTAATTTTTTGCATCTTAGAAACTGCTGTAAGCACTGTCATAAGATGTCTTTACTAAACTGTGTTAGGAATTGTGAGGTAAGATTTTTGTTGTCACTATGTTTTCTTGAGGTTTATTGTCTGCATTGTGTCATGCTTTTGCCATTTAAAAGTGACACTAAACATAATCTGCTTCTTAGATTTGACAAAAAGGCTGTAAGACAGACATGGTTTGATCTTTGGCAGAGAGGATAGTTGTTAGAACCGGTTGGGGTTTCACTCAAATGTGACTGACTGTCTGAAAACTCAGTTATAGACAGTCTGCTGGACTTCTGCGAAGTCATTGATACTCCTGGCAGGAGCTGACACTTCGATTGTGTTTTTGTGCATAGCATTGCTACAAACACAGCTAAGAAATGAAAGGACTATAAAAGGGACGTGCTATCTGAACAAAAAATCTTTCTACCTAGTCCCTGGTACCTAAAATGTATGTGCTAACTTTCTTGTTACTGCACTAGTCTGTAATAAAGTAGTCCTGCTACAACTGTGTTTTATACAAATGCTGCTCTGAAAGTAATGCCTCCCATTTTACTATGTGGGCCCATAACTTCAGTGGTGGATGTTGGTGGTATGGTAGTAGAGGTCAAAAGTTCCTGCCAATATTCTGTTACATTTTGTTGCTGTGTGACAGATGGCAGCAGAGAGAGGCAGTCTGACAACATGGCATCTGACATGGAAGTGGATATGAAGCAAAGGTGGAATTGAATTCCTCCATGTGGAAAAAATGGCACCCATTATCATTCATCAGTGCTTGCTGAACATATGGAGACCAAACAGTGGATCTCAGCACAGTGGGGTGGTGGGTGGTGCATTTTGGAAGTGGTGAGAGTGACATGAAAGACAAGCCACCAGACAAGCTTCTTATCCTATGTCAGTCTCTCTTTTGTGACAATGTGAATTAGTAAATATGTTCTATCAAGAACTAAAATTTCTTACAAACTTCAGCTCCTTAAACTGCAGTTTGCTCAGTGTGCCCTAAAATATAATTTTAGGGTGGTCTTTTCCTCTAAAACCAAGCTGTTCAACTGTAATTAGATATACATGGGACTTTCTAACTTCATCAATATAATTATTAAGCTTTACATAAATCTTACTATTTTAAACATAATTTTCTACATAGACACATGACAATCAATTTTATTGTTGCTTGTTTCCTTTAATAACATGAGTGTAAACTTGTCTAGGATATAGATATTTCTTCTTATATCTAGTGAAGAAAGTGAGAAACTCTGAGACATCAACAAATATAAAAGAGAAAGAACAATCCTGACTACTGCTGAAAATGTTTGCTTTCCTAAGCAATGCGCCTGAGCAAGGTAAGTCAAGGAAACATCTTGTTGATGTAGTCATTTGATTTATGTTCAGGAGTAGCAGTTTTATGAAGAGAGTACACAGGATGAAGAAACAAAAAGTTTGTTTTTAATTATAATTCTAACTTCTAAAGCTTTAAAAATCTTTTGTATATCTCTGTGCAATGTACATTAAATGTCCGTATTAAAAAAAGCAAATGATGTAAATGATAAATATGTGTGGGCATAATAAAGCAAGTGAAGGTGGACAGTACAAATTGACCATAACTGCAATTCATGAACAGTTGGTGGTTGCATTTGTGCTTTCCTTAGTAGTAGTAGAGTGGATCTGTCAGTGCATCACACAGCAATTAAGTTTTAAAAAGAATTCTAATGGTAGTAGGAGGTAGTGGTACTAGTCTAGGAGGGCTTCAGAAACATTTCAAGTTATTGTGAGAAGATTGAAGTGAAAGCAAAGCATAAATAATTGGATGATCAGATGTTTGAGTTAATGGAAGTTTTGGAGCCTTACATTATTAATGGGCATTTTTCTTTGAGGAAGTAAACAGTGCGTGTTAAATTGTTTTATTCCAGTATTAGGAGTATATCGTAAAAAACAATCTAGAATTTAACAGGAAAAAATGAATACAGTTTTTATGAAAACAACTAGATCTGGGGCAATTAAATAAATGCTATCATTAAATCTTTTATGATATTATAACATTTAAATCAGTTTTACTAAGGCTGGTCAAAGTCAGGGCAGAGGTCACGTAAGCTGCAGTGAATCTTCTCTCTTAAATTAGGGTAAGCGTATTGTTTTTGTTAGGCGTTATTCTGAGTCAGATTTTGTACCAAAATATGCTCAAACAGATTTGAACATGTAATGAGACCTGTGAGTGTGCAATTCTTACCCAAAGAGACAGTGGAAATATGTTTAATTGTTGAGAGTGAAATTATAGCTGAATGATTCTGAAACTTACTCTTTGTTCTGTAAAAGAATCAGGCCAGGAAATACAATTCATTTTAAAAAAGCTGTTTGTTCCACAACAAGGGTGGTGACTGTATTTTACAGGCCACCTTGGACAGTAGCGTATTTTATTTGCCTAGACATTGTTCTTCCTCTCTGTATGGGTTGGTAGTGACCTTTCCTACTTCTGCAGCACCCTGCTCCAGGAGCCACAGTACAAAAGCAAAGGAAGATGAGATAAGAGCAGAGAATAACAGGAATCAGCCAGACACCCAGAGCTGCAGCTTCCCAAACAGGAGCTTCATTGTCTGAAGTATAATTCCTGCCACTGTAACCTTTGGTTTCATTTAAGTGTTGTTTGCTGCTGTTCAGATGAGGAGGAGTGGGCATGCGGGATAACACCTCTGCAGATTTAGGTATCAAAGTTGAGTGTATAGTCCTTCTGTCTGAGCCAGTGAATAGTCTAGTATTTCCTGAAGTTGTGCTTGTCCTCTTAGCCAAATGGTTATCCAGCAGAGAAGTTGATTCCCTGGAATATGTGCTGCCTTTTGTTTTTACAGCCATCAGGCTTGTGCTGGAGGTGATGGTAGAAGATGGAGCTTGGAGTAGAAGTGAACTTGACGTAACATTACTATGCTGGCATCTTTCCCACTCAGAGGTCTTTGTGCTGTTTTGCCTTTCGTATTTATTCTGTGAGGTGTAAGTACTTGGCCCCTTGAATTTCAGTCTTTCAAAAATAAGAAGGTCTGGATCAATCCCTATTAAATCATAAACAATATTAGTTTATGTGATAAAAGCTCATCTGCGTACAAGAGAAGAAGAGAATCCATTTGACCAGCAGCTCTAGGGTGATTGTGCTCCTGAGGGCTCATGCATCCAGGTGCTACCAGTTGAGGAGACTGGGATCCAGGGGCAGATGCTGGGTGTCTGAGCCAAGCTACTGGAGCTTTAAGACAGTTCGTATATGAATTAAATATATATTTATATATACACATTGTCATATATATATGTATATACACATATATATATTAAATATACATACACGCATATTAAACTGTATATTCTCACTATATATACATATGTATATTTTCAGTAGCAGTTCTCTATGTGGCTGCACGGCATGGAGGACAAGGCTCTTGGTACTGCCTTTATGTGTCTGCTTTATGCATCTCACTGTGTTACCTATGTGGATAGCTGTGTATGTATGTATATGTACACATGTGATATACTTGTATGTGTGGTCAATATGCATGTTCTGAATGGGAACAGATTTTTAGCCATGCTATTGTGTGAATCTAGGGGCACAGAGCAGCAACAGCCTCTCCTCTCTCTGTCAGATCTTACATGGTACTTTTCTTTAACAAGAGTATTCGTTAAATATTCAAAGAACAAATCTTGGCAGCAGGGTGAACCTTCAAGGTTCTTTCTCAAATGCTGAATGAAAGAAAGAGTGGGGAAGTATCCCAAAAAGTATGAACATTAAAGAAAAAAAAGTATTACACATTTTTATCATTTTGTGTTGTTACAAAAGGTCTTTTAGCAACTTACTATATATATACATATTGCTGTGTTTTCTGCCTTTATGCACACAATATTTGATTACCTGTTGTGATGTTGTACAAAACAACGTTGATTCTAGCCTTTAGTATGCAACTTTCCAGTGCTGGGCAAGACACGTGCAAGCAATTCATATTTTCATTAGTAGCTCCATGGTAGAACACTGCTAGATTACAGGAAACTATAATACAAAAAGAACAAAGCTGGATTTATCAGCACTATAACTGTTGTATTTTCCATGTTATTACAAGGGCTTCTCTGAAAGTAATGCCTCCTAATTTGTTGGCCCATAACATCAGAGGATGTTAGTGATGTGGCAGTTGCTATGTGACTGATGACCGCAGAGGGGCAGTCTGACAAAATGGTGTCTGACATGGAAGGGGGTATGAAGCAAAGGTGTAGAATTGAATTCTTCCATGCAGAAAAAGTGGCACACAATCATCACACTGTAACACACCCTGTATGTTTATGGAGACCAAACAATGGATGTTAGCTTGGTGAGGCAGTATTGGTTTGTCTTGGTAGTGGTGACAGCAATGCAAAAGACAAGCCACATTCCAGACAGCCAAGTACAGCTCTCCTACCATTAAGTGAGGAGTTTCTTGGCCAGCTGATCCATGTCAATTGGCAGATTACAACCATGGAATCATGTATGGAACTAAATATTGGCTTCAGTGCATTGGAACCTGTGGTGGTAATTTTGGAGCATCACAGTTTGCACCATGTGGGTCCCACAAACGCTCACACAAGAAATAGAGTCTTGGCTGGACTGTCTTTCCATACCCACTGTACAGATTTAGCATGTTCTGAATTCCATGTGTTTGTGAAGATGGACTGCATGTGAAATATTTTCCTAGCAATCACACTGTCACAGCAGCTGTGAAACAGTGGGCCAACTCCACTAGTGCAGATTTCTACACAGGCTCTTGCTGGCAAAAATGCATAGCTAGTGGTGGTGACTAAGCTGAAAAACAGTGTTTTGTAGTTGAGCATTTGCTCTAGGAAATAGTGTTATTGTACTCTTTATATCTGTTGTAATCGCTATGGAAATAAGTAAGAAGCATTACTTTCAGAGTGACCTACATGCGTTATTTAGCATTAAAAGAAACATTAATACTGACTAGTTGCACAGTACATAAAGTCTGTGATTCTCTCATTATCATGCAAACTTCTTAAGCACCCACATGTAAAAGTAGAACAACTTTAACTATATTCATATTTTATACCTAGAGAAGATGAAAAGGATAGCCAAATGAATTCTAAATGAATTCTCAGAATAAATAAAACCATATGCTGTAGCCTGCAGTCCTCTCTTATCTTTCCTTTATATCTTTATTGCAGTGATTGGACTATTTCTGAAAGTAAAGCTGTCAGTACAAGTTTGAGGTGTTGGCTCTTGTGCAATTGATACCTGTCTACTTGAGACTGGAGAGCAAACATTTCTTTCCTCAGACTATTAAACAACCATCAGATGGCGTATCCTGAACTACAATATGTAACTGGCATCCTGCCTTGCTTTATCTTGTCTGGCTTTGGGCTATTTATTTCTGTGAATATAATATTTTAAACAATTCATCATCTGTATTTGGAGACTGGCTTCTCTCTTACCACCTGAGGAAAGTGTCACTGGGAACTAATTTTCAGAACTATGTAAATACCTGAATGCTAGTGGTTTAAGATCGCTGAAAGCATGAAAATGGAGGTTTAGGAGTCAGTTTAATTAAACGCTCTTGAAAATGTTATATTATGTGCTCATAGAGATGCTTCAATACTCAAGGTAAATGTTATACTCAAAGTCAAAATATCAAGTCAAAAGTTGAATTTATTTTATATCACTGTGCTTGGAGTAGGATCAGTGTTAATTTTTGTCACATGAAGGTTTTTTTGTTTGTTTTTAATATTATAAAATCATTCTAGTTGCAGGGTAATGATGTCAAGACAATAATGGAAAAGCTTTATTTTACATGAATTGTTAAGAAACTACCTAGCTTTAAAATATTTTCCATTTACTTTGGTATTTATTGTAAATGTTGCCTTGCATTTATAAGTAATGATACCAACTTGTAATATTCATGTAGTGAAAAAGTAATGCAACTCTTTCCTCTTTCCACAGTATGTGTAACTAAAAAACTAACCCTATCTTATCGACAAATGAGAAGAAGAAAGAACATGCTCTCTACCCACCCTTGCAATCTTTTCTGTATTTGCTGTGTTTTTTCAGTTAGTAATCTAAATACTGCATTGAATAACCCGGTAAACACAACTGGAAAATATTTTTCCATCATAATGAACATATCAGATGTCAGAGATGAACACTGTTTTCAAAAGATGTGTGATCCATGTGATTTAAAATTTGCAATCAAAATGCACTGTGTCTGAAAAATACAAATTCAGCAGCTTTCTGGAATACTGAATGTATATTGTACTATGTTTTTTACCTATTTGCATGAAGTATTCAAAGTTGTCTGCATATCTCAAACAAAAATACTTGCAAGAACAACTAGAATCCTAAGCTGTAATGAATAGCGAGTAAAGTCATTACTTGATATTGAATGTAAGTCAAAGGGGTTAAACAACAGTTTTTCTTTCACTGAGACCATGTTCTATCTCTAACTAGGCTTCATCAGTTTCCAGTTATGAAAATAGCAGCTGAGCTTAGAGAAGGCTTTTACAAAACTAGAATTGGTACAAAAAAGTTATGGCTATTTATAGCAATAGAAGAACAGTGCCTGCCAGAAACAGAATAATTTAAAAGGATTACACAAACTCTGACTCTATTATGTACCAATTAGTTTACATTTTTCTTTAAAAGATTACAAGCACAATGTAGTGTTCAGAAAACATCTGTAGCCAGTACACCTTGATGTACTTCCTGAGAACTATAGACATTTACACAAATAGACAAAAAAGAATATAAAAATATAGACATATAGATTAAAAAAAAAAAAAAAGAATATAAAAACAGTTCTAGTCATCAGTAAACATTTTGTATCACTTTTAGTATGAACTCACAATAAAAATAACAAAGGCCTTCAAATATTTCTATGAAGTGTCTGTGTAGTAGTTGCTTTTCTGTGATACCTTTTGCTGAAAGAATGTTAAACACTCTGGAAACACTAAAAATAGAATATTATGAATAGTATCTTTTTTTTAAAAATCAAAATATCCTGATGCTTGCTCAGAGTGATTTTTTTTTTTTCCCAGCAGAAAACTGTTCTTCACTTTCCTTGTATGTTATAGCAACGTATAACTTTGCTTTGAAACCCAAGTACTTAGTGTTCTGGATTTTGTTGAAGAATTGACATTTTGTACTATCTGTATGTTTTATGCTTGTTTTTCAGTATGATACATGAACATAGTGTAGGTTTGGTGATATATTGCAAGGACATAAATTCTTAGTTAAAAAAATAGAAGATAAATGAAAATACATGAATTTGTTTTAAGGTAAGAGTGAGATTTCAAATCCTTTTCTATCTTCAAAGTTTGATCAAAGTTCTGTTGTTGTTAGAAAATCATATTTTTAGCACTACATAATTCCAGAAGTTTTTCATCATGATTAGTATACCTGCTTTATGAAAATATCATTAATATTAAAAAGAAAAAACACATAGCTTCTGAAAAAATTGGCTTTTGAGGAAGTATTCTGAGTATTCTGAGGAAGTATTTTGAGGAAGTATTGGTAAATGCGTTAGATTTTATTGCATAAAATTGAGTAAGAATAGTAAATCGCAAACCTATTTTTGGGGTGAGAAAAAATAGTTCTTTGGTCAGGAAAAATACGTAAAAAGCATGCTATAAGATATTTCACATCACCTTGAGGAGGTACAAGCCAACTATGCCATTGTCTGTTTTTAAATTATTTCAAAATTTGTATTTATCTTCTATGATTACCTTTCAGTAACTGTACTATTACTGAGAATCCAGCAAATAAGACTGTCTTATCAATTGTCAATATCTCTTGAAGTCTTAATTAGGACATTTATTGACATCTGTGGTAGGCTACATCTGTCTCTTTTGGACTGTATGGAAATTACAATCTGATTTAAAGCATGTTTATGAAATGCCATCTGATATCTCCATACTTCAGTTAAGGTTATAACAAATCTGCACTTGACTGTGAAAGGTTATAAAAACAAGACTCCAATTACCGTCACTTACCTTCATTACGTACTTCATCTCATATTTTATGACCAAAAAGGTTATTGTCCAAAAAGGAAAAAATGTTACTAAAATTTTTATAATTATTCTTTATTCACCTTATTTAAAACAGAAGTTGGCTCCAGAGTATATTTCTACTGTAGGAATTGAAAGAAGATCTAAACATAACAGACTTGTGTGAAGATTCTATCCCCTGCCCCTCGCAGCCATTCTCACTAGTTTCCATAACATTCATGCACTGGGATCATAAAAGGGAAGATTAATTAGATGAAATATGGTGTGAACACAGAGCAGGAGAGTGTTCTTTCCTCTCAAAGAAATGAATACCGTTGTATCTCAGAGATGGCTAAGTAGTGTGATCCCTCCCTTCCACAAACCATGTCCTCATCTACCAAGGAAGAACCCTATTGTAATCGGTGTCCATTTACAGTGGAGTAGAATTTTTCTGTACTTCTGTTCTTGTTTTCATGTATGCCACAGTCTTTATAATAAACACTCACCATTCCTCTGAAGGCAGCAGGTTCTGCTGCACTGCTGGGAGGAGACTTCTGTGTAAATCTTCAGCACCTGGGCTCCTCTCTTCTCTGATTCCTGCAGGTCGATCAGAAGACCAGGAAAGCGTCGGATCCAGCAGTTCTTGTAAAACATGGTGGGTGTGCAGAGAGAATCTGACTCCACTGCCAATCCCAGAAGCAACAGCACCTCTGATATTGCCACCAGCAGAACCATCTCTTCTGTGTAATTGGCTTAGTGAGTGTGCTTTCTCCTTCATGGAAGTGCTGAAGTTTGGACCAGCTTTTTAAGAGACATTATCTTGAGTCATAAGGACGCTATCAATTCTGCCAGGGGAAGAAGTCAAGACAAGTTTTTTTTCAAACAATTCTGGTGATGTTTGGCCCGCTGTCAAGGGAAGCAGTCATTTTATGAGCTACATGTGATTATAATAATAATTACTATTTTTCTCTGCATTATTTGGAGAAAGTTTTTGAGAGACAACAGGCTTGTGCATGTGCTGCTTGTAGTCATTCAGAGATCTTGCTTCTGTAATCTGAAGTTTGTAGTAAGTCCTTCTAAGACCAAACTATGCAGACAGCCTTAGTGTGTGACAAATAATGGTAAGCACAGTATTCCGTTTCACCTCAGCTCTGAAAGTATGCAGCCCTATCATTTGAGAGCAGGTGGGTCTGCTACTTAGTTCATCCTCACTGCTACTCTCAGTACAGAAAGAACAGCTCCACTTAGTTTCTTAATGCATTTTGAATTATCTGGTTCTTGCAAATTTAGTTTCCTTCTTGAGTAACAAACTGAAGCATCTAATAATGTCTACCAGCCAGAGGTGAAAATTTATTCTTCTCCACTCAACTTCTGTTGTAAAAGTGGAATGGTTTTATTTGCAAAGATCTAGCAATAGATAACTATGTCTAGAGAGGGCTGTAACCTACAGAATCAGAACTGCAGAGGTTAGAAGATCATCAAGTCCAACACTCTGCTAAAGGAGGCTTCCTATAGTAGGTCACACAGGTAGGTGCCCAGACAGGTCTTGAATATCTCCAAAGAAGGAGACTCCACAACCTCTCTGGGTGACCTGTTCCAGTGCTCTGTCATCCTCACTGTAAAGAAGTTCTTCTATATATTTGCGTGGAACTTTCTGTGTTCCAGCTTTTGGGCATTGCTTCTTGTCCTATTACTATACACCACTAAAAAGAGTCTGGACTTGTGCAATTGACTCCTGCACTGTAGATATTTATAAGCACTGGTCGTATTCCTTCTCAGTCTTCTTTAAGTTGAACAAACGCAGGTTTTCAGCTTTTCCTCAAATAGGAGATGCTGCAAGCCCCTTAACATCTTTGTCACTATCCACTGGACTCTCTAGGAGATACCTGTATTTTTAGAACTGGGGAGCCCAGAACCTGACATAGTATTCCAGATCTGGCCTCATCATGGCAGAGTAGAGGGGGAGCACCTCCTTCAACCTGTTCAACTTACTCTTTTTAATGCAACCCAGAATAAAATTGGACTTCTTGGCTACAAGGTCATGAATGGCTTGTGGCTAACCTGTTATCCACCAGGTCCTTCTCTGCAGAGCTACTCATCAGCAGACAGCTCATTAACCTATAATTATTTCTCCTCAGGTGTAGGACTCTTGCTTTTGTTGAACCTCATGAGTTTCCTCTCCACCCAAATCTTCAATCTGTCTAGGTCCTGCTGAATGACAGCACAGCCTTCTGGAACGTCAGCCACTCCTCCCAGCTTCATATAACCAGCAAACTGCTGAGGGTGGGCTCTATTCCATCATCCTGATCACTGACAAACAAAACCGGACCCAGTACTGACCCCTAGGGTCAGTTACAGGACCCATTAGTTACAGGACTCCAGCTAGACTCTATGCCACTGATCACAACTCTATGAACTCTTCCAGTCAGCTAATCCTCAACCTATCTCACTGTTCACTCATCTATCCTGTACTTTCTAAACTTCATTACAAGGATACTGTGGGAGACAGTGTCAAATGTCTTGCTGAAGTCAAAGTACACAACACCTACTGCTCTCTCCCCATCTATTCAGGCAGCCAAGACATCAGAGAAGGCTACCAGGTTGCTCAAGCATGATTTCCCCCTGTTGAATCCATACTCCTGAAAACCTCCTTCTTTTCCAATTGTTTGGGGATAGTATCCAGAGCAAATTCCGTCATCTTTCTAGGGACAGAGGAGAGGCTGACTGGCCTGTAGTTTCCCAAATCATCCTCTACATTTGTCTGCAGACTAGAGAAGTAATTGCAGTCCTGCCTTTAATCTTTCACACATTTAAGAATACTGAATGGTTTGCACTGTCAAAATAACATGTAACATCTAACATGTTTATAGTAACTAAAAATGCAGGTTAAAACTCCAGCTTACTGGAGTGTATTCTAGGAAATACTGACTTCTAAAAGTATTTATTTATTGCTTGTTTATATTAATCAGGTGGTTCAAACTTAATTGATAAGAGACTATGTCAAAAACAGTTAAGCAGTTTTGTGATGGATGACTTCAAGAAGGTTTCATAATAGCAGGTAACTGATTAAGAGAAGACTGAGATGGGAATCTTATCCATGCTTATTGATATCCAAAGGGCAGGTGTCAAGAGGATGGACCCAAGATCTTTTCAGTGGTGCCCAGCAACAGGACAAGGAGCAGCAGGCACAAACTAGAACACAGGAGGTTCCATATGAACATGAGGAGAAACTTCCTTACTTTGAGTGTGACTGAGCACTGCAACAAGCTGCCCAAAGATGTTGTGGAGACTCCTTCCCTGAAGATCTTCAAAGCCCACCTGGATACTTTCTTGTGTAACCTGCTGTAGGGAACCAGCTTTAGCAGAGAAGTTGGAATAGGCAATCTCTAGATAGAATCTTCCAGCTCCTACAATTCTGTGATTCAGTGTGATTCTGTAATTTTTCTGCTTACGTTAAAGCTTGGAAGAAGCCTGTGAGAGTGTAAGAAACTACAGATGGCATAGAGGAAGGCAACTTTTCAAGCACCTGATCTGAAACCTGAAACTCCTGTGCATATTGTTTCTTAAAAGGATGCAATCTGATCTTTGGTTCCCACTGCCGTGTGCAACATAACATAACATACAGAAAGGATTTAAAATGCTACAATACACGTGTTCACATACACTCACATAGAAGTGCTGACAGAATTAGGCAGAAATACAGTTTTCTACCATAAAGATCATGTGTGAAACAGACAACAGTGTTTTAGACAGGAATTTTTTTCTTCAAGATTAGCACTGTCCTGTGAGATGCATAGAGAGTTTCAAGGTCATTTTAATTCTTTAGGCATTACTGCTAGCATTTGTTTTGCAAAACAGATCCCCCATTTTGGAAATGAGACAGCTTGTACAGAGTTTTATTCTTTACAGAGCTCCTTAAAAGGTAAGGAGCTCAGCACAGGTTAACTCCTGTTGACCAGATAGCAAGATCAAAGGATTTATTTCTTCAGCTAAAATACTGGCTATGATTATAATGTATATGTAGGTCACCCCAAAAGTAATGCCACCTATTTATTTCTATGGAAACTATGACAAATACAGAGAGCACAGTAACACTGTCTGGTTCAGCAAATTTTCAGCTACAGAACACTGTCTTGCAGTGTAGTCATTAACTATGCATTTTCACCAGCAACGAACAAGAGCCAGCATACTGTGCTTGTAACCATCTGCATCCATCTACCAGCAGAGGTGACCCGCTGTCACTGTCACTACTGCTGAAATGCACCACAAACCACCTCACTGTGTTCACATCAACTGTTTGGTCTCCATAAACATTCAGCAAGCATCAATAAATACCAGTGGGTGCCATTTTTCCACATGGAGGAATTCCGTTCCACACCTTTGTTTCATAGGCACTTCCATACCAGACATCATTTTGTCCGACTGCCGCTTTGCTGCCATCTGTTGCATGGCAACAATGTGTAACTGAATATTGGTGGGAAGGTTTAGCCTCTACTTTCATACACCAACATCCATCTCTGATGTTGTGGACTAACACAGTAAAATGGAAGACATTACATTCTGAGAAGCCTTCATATTATAATGTTCTCATACAGACTATGTCTATTGTGAGAGCATTAATTAAATCGTTAAAAGGAGCCTAAGTAATTATTTAGGCATCTGTCTTAAAATGAGCTTTTGGCATTTCTGTTATTTTACTTGTTGTTGTGATTTATTTATCTGTAGTCTGTTGTGCATTATTTTTGTTTTTATCTCTGCCTGAACATCATTATTAAAAACCTTGAACAGGTTTCAATATACTTTTTTGCAGTCAGTGAAATGCAAAGAGGTGATTGTAAGCATCTGCCACTGTCACGAGAATCACTGAATGTATTTTTCTGAGATACATTTTGGTTTAAGCTTTCCAAATATTCCAGCGCACCGCTTGAAATGAGACACACTTTTTTGAAAATATGCTTGTATTGTGGTTTTACCTCCAGCATTTAGTATGAATTTTGTCTGTAAGACTGATATACAGTAATATTCATTCTTGACTGCTTTCTTTGCTCCAACTCTTCTCAAAGAAGACAAGAGTTTCTGAATAATATAGTTCTGAATAATATGGGGAAATGTAGAACATAAAGATTAAACTCATAGTAAAGAAGCATTTTTATTGGGTAAAGCTGAATATGTCTTTAGTTCACTGAACTGAATTAGACTACTTGTATGACAAAAAAATTGATATAATAGGTAACTTTAACAGTAATGGTGTATATATTTATGGTTACTAAATATTGTGATGACTCATCATCTGCTTTTATATAAGTGTGATGCCTTGCAAATTATATATGTAGATATACTTCTTCCTTTTTAGGAAAAGATAATTAATTAAAGACTAGCCTTGTGCCCTATTTCAGTTAGAAGGACTTGAAATATACAATTTCTTCAGTTTCAATGATGCTGTCTCTAGACATTAGGATAAAGTGTAACGCTGGATATGAAACATGCCTGAACATCTAATCATATTTCAGACTGTTCATTAAGTCTTTATCTGGCATCACATTTTGATTAAAGGAACAAATACTCAAATATCTGCTGTTGCCTTTGATGCAGTCACCGAACACGGTTAAGTGAGAGTACTCCTTGTGTTTAACTATGTTGTTTTCAAGATTGAGATTTGGTAACCAGTCAAGTTGTGTATAGATTTATGTATCTGCAATATATTTTATATTTGTATTTAGTTTGCCACTGCTTGGCAATAGACATGTTGCTAGTCTTTCTCAGTACCTTCCCATTTTTATCCTGTTCCACTGCCTGCTTCAACTAAGCAGCTATTTTCTACCTCATTACTCAAAACTCTTTCTCCTTTCTCTGTTTCTGACTAAATTATGAGAGCAGGAACAGCTGCACTTGTTTAAAGGATCATAAAGATATTGAAATAAATAGATAAATTACGTAGACAACATTCTTTCAAAACTGAAAAGTATTTTCTGTTAAAGCTCAAAGTCTTCTGCCACCTTACCCAAATTTTCACTTTGACTTTTGGATGGAAAATGCATATTTGATACTGAAATTTAGTTAAAACTTTTCGTAAGAAGTAGATATCTGAATCTTACCTGCAAACTAGTAACCGACTGTTCCATGTGCTCTGAAAGGAGGGATCAAGAGACTTTTGCTGTTAGTAAGGAGTCTCCGGTATCAAGCCAGATATCATGCTATTTGTAATTCTTTTCACCATTCTTCTCAAATTTCTTCCTGGAAAACAAACTGTCATTTACCTGTTTTCTGTAAGAATACAGATGCATTTGCAGGTCTTTCAGTAAAAGAGATACAAGTGTACCTGGCACAAAGGAGACGAATGATATTTCTTGTTATAAAAAGAAACAGCACCTGAAGAGTTCCACCTCAGCTGGCAGGAATAGTGGCACAATCCAAAAGCTTACTAGTACAAAGGAGTCATCAGACATTAACTCTTTTTTTGCCAGATTTATATAAAAGTAGACAACTTTTCCACCTGTAGTTTCAAATATATATATGCTTTTTTATTTAGCTTATATGGAATATATGTTTCTAGTACTTAGAATATGTAAAGACCAAAAAAGATCTCTATGGTTCAGGGAAGCGTTCCTGAAAGTGATCAAAAGTGCCAAGGCTTTGATTCTGTAGTCAGGTCAGCCAATCTTAAATTATAGAGCACAAATAGTTTGGCTTTGTTCACAATTGCCCTCTGGCTGCTCAGAGGGAACAGATGAACAGTAGATGTCTCCTTGTGGCTTTGTGGCATTACACTTTTTTTCTGCTTGAAGTGCTATGATAGAAAGTGTTGCACCTTGCTCTTTCCCAACCAGCACTAGGTCCTTTCTTGGAAAGTTTCCCATTTTCTGCTCTGTCAGTGCTGGTTAAACCAGAGGTGCATGAGAGATGGATGCATCCATCGTGTAGATGCAGACTAGACAACAGAGAACAGGTGGGCCTCATGTCCGGGCCTTCTCTGTAGAAAGTTATGGGAGAGAAGCAAGAGATGCTCTTAATGCCCATATGCAGCCAAGAATCACTCCTTGATGCTGCCATGTTGATACACAATGTAGAAAATACGTAGAAAATTATTCTTGCAAACACAGACCCAGCCTCTTTCACGCTTAGGAACTGACCACTGCTAAATATAGAAACCAGTATATAAATATTCTCTACTGCAGCTGAAGTCATACACATTAGCTTAAATTTTGCTGCGGTGACGTGCATCAGAGCAGGTAAGACTGCACTGGGCAAGGGAACTCAAGTAAAAGACTGACCAAAAAAGCAGAGCTGACACCTTGTGGCAGTATTCAAGGTACTTACCATGAGTCATCAGCCATTTGCTTCATTTGCTACAGAGACTAGCTTCGAGCAGGTAAAACTGTGGTGGGCAAGGGATCTGGAATGAAGAAAAGTGACCAAAAAAGCTCTTTTTTTAGGCTTTTTTGGAGCCATTGACAGTGCTGTGCCTGGGCTAGCAGCTGGCAGCTTGTGGGCAGGCTCCTGACTCACCAGGGGTGGAGCTGACACTGCCTGCTCTTTATCTCTGGAGCTTGACCTTGACCCATTTGTTGTGTGGATAAAAAGAGACCAGGGACACACAACACAAGCTAGAAGGTGTGGAAAGCTGCTCTGATCACCTAGGGTGGAGGTAGTCAGTGTGTGAGGGCCACTAGCACTTCATTGCCCATTCATTAAGGCAGCAGTGGGGAGCAGAGGCTGTGTCTTGTGTCAGCAAGGGTGGGTGCTCTTGTCTTTTTCTCAGGTGACTGGCTCTCCTGTTTACAGGCCCTGACACCACCCCTTCAGTCATGGTCCTCACCAGGAAACGTGCTTCCCATGCAAAGACTGTGGCAACCCAGACAGAGGGTCTGCTTAATAATGTGGCGGTTCAGGTCTCTGGCTGCCAGGAGTGCCTCAGCCTGCTGCTGCCGGGGGAGGATGGGAAGGATGCCACCTGTATGCGGTGTGAGCAGCTGGATGAGCTGCTCAACCTGGTGGTGGAGCTTAGGGAGGAGGTAGGTAGACTGCGGACCATCAGAGAGTGCGAGCGAGAGATTGACTGGTGGAGTGACTCTCTGCGAGAAAGGCGCAGAGATTGCACTACCCAGACGGAGGGAACAATGGACCCTATCTCTCATTGTAGTCAAACAGGGAGAGACAGCTTGAGAGAAGATGAGGAATGGCAGCTGGTCTCATCCCAGCGTCGCAGGCAACCCCCAAGTTCTCGACCTACCTCGGTTCCCCTGATCCCTCTCTGTAATAGGTATGAAACCCTGAAACCAGAGGGAGTGGTGACTGATGATAATGTGGGAGCACTGCCACCAAGCTTGCCTAAGGTGAGGCGGTCAGCTCTGCGTTTAAAGACTGCCTCCTCCAAGAAAGAAAGGAGAGTGGTAGTTGTAGGTGACTCTCTTCTGAGAGGAACAGAGGGTCCAATATGTCGGCCTGACCCTACCCGTAGGGAGGTGTGCTGCCTTCCTGCAGCCCGGGTCAGGGATATTTCTAGAAAACTCCCCAGCCTTATCCGCCCCTCTGATTATTACCCTCTATTGATAGTTCAGGCCGGCAGTGATGAGATCCCTGTTAGAAGCATGAGGATTATAAAAAATGATTTTAGGAGACTGGGGAAGTTAGTTGATGGAGCGGGCATACAAGTAGTGTTTGCCAGCATTCCCTTGGTGGCAGGGATGAATGCTGAGATGACCAGGAAAAGCCATCTTATAAATGCATGGCTGAGAGGCTGGTGCAAGTGCAAAAATTTTGGATTCTTTGATCATGGGGTGGTCTACTCGGCATCTGGCCTGAGGTCTGCTGATGGGAATTGCTTGTCTCCAAAAGGGAGACGGATACTTGCCCAGGAGCTGGCGGGACTTGTAGAGAGGGCTTTAAACTAGATAGGAAGGGGGAGGGGGATAAAGCCAGGCCTGCTAGAGAGCAGCCTGGGGAAGTGGTAATGGGATTAGGTGAGAGGCGAGGGGCTCAGCTGAGGTGCGTCTACACTAATGCACGCAGCATGGGCAACAAACAAGAAGAGTTGGAAGCCATTGTGCAGCAGGCAAACTATGACCTAGTTGCCATAACGGAAACGTGGTGGGATTGCTCCCACGATTGGAGTGCTGCAATCGATGGCTATAAACTCTTCAGGAAAGATAGGCAAGGAAGGCGGGGTGGCGGTGTAGCTCTCTATGTTAGGGAATGCTTTTACGCTACTGAGATTATGACTGGGGACGATAACGTTGAATCCCTATGGGTAAAGATCAGAGGAAGGGCTGACAAGACAGGCACCCTGGTGGGCGTCTGTTATAGACCCCCAAATCAAGATGAAGAAACAGACGAGGTATTCTATAAGCAGCTGGCACAAGCTGCACAGTCGCCTGCCCTTGTCCTCATGGGGGACTTTAACTTCCCTGACGTATGCTGGGAGTACAGCACAGCACAGAGGAAGCAGTCTGGGAGGTTTCTGGAATGCGTAGAGGACAACTTCCTGATACAGCTGGTCAGAGAGCCCACGAGAGGAACTGCCCCACTAGACCTGCTGTTCACAAACAGGGAAGGTTTGGTGGGAGATGTGGAGGTTGGAGGCTGTCTTGGACAGAGTGATCATGAAATGATAGACTTCGTGATTCATGGTGGAGCCTGGAGGGGGAATAGTAATACTGCTACCTTGGACTTCAGGAGGGCGGACTTTGAATTGTTCAGGGGACTAATAGGGGGAGTCCCCTGGCATTCAGTCTTAGCAAGCAAAGGGGTTCAAGAGAGCTGGTTGCTATTCAAGAAGGAAGTCTTAAGGGCGCAGGAGCAGGCAGTCCCCCTGAGCTGCAAAATGAGCCGGCGGGGAAGAAGACCGGCGTGGATGAATAGGGAGCTATTCCTGAGGCTCCGGGAGAAAAAGAGAATCTACCGCCTGTGGAAAGAGGGACAGGCCACTCAAAATGAATACAGGGAAGTTGTTAGGATGTGTAGAGGTGAAATCAGAAAGGCAAAAGCCCAGCTTGAATTTAACCTAGCTGCTGGTGTGAAAAGGAATAAGAAACTCTTTTATAAATACATTAACAGTAAGAGGAGGACAAAGGAGAATATCCACTCTTTGCTGGATGAGGCTGGGAATGTGACCACTGAGGATAAGGAAAAGGCGGAGGTTCTGAATGCCTTCTTTACGTCTGTCTTTAAAAGTCAGACCAGTTATCCTCAGGATACCCCTCTCTCTGACCTGGTAATCTCGGTTGGGGAGCACACCAACCCCCCGTGATTCTGAAAGAAACAGTCAGAGACCTACTGCTCCAGCTGGACTGTCACAAGTCGATGGGGCCAGATGAGATCCACCCGAGAGTGCTGAGGGAACTGGCGGAGGTGATAGCCGAGCCGCTTTCCATCATCTGTCAGCGCTCCTTGTTGACTGGTGAGGTCCCAGAAGACTGGAGGCTTGCCAATGTGACTCCCATTTATAAGAAAGGTCGTAAGGAGGATCCGGGGAACTACAGGCCTGTCAGCCTGACCTCGGTGCCAGGGAAGGTTATGGAGCAGATCGTCTTGAGGGAGATCATGCGGCATGTGCGGGGTGACCGGGGGATCAGGCCTAGCCAGCATGGGTTCATGAAGGGCAGGTCCTGTTTGACCAACCTGATCTCCTTCTATGATCTAGTGACCCATCTGGTGGATGAAGGAAAGGCTGTTGATGTGGTCTACCTAGACTTCAGCAAAGCCTTTGACACTGTCTCCCACAGCATTCTCCTGCAGAAGCTGGCAGCCAGAGGCTTGGATGGGTACACTCTTGGCTGGGTAAGGAGCTGGCTGGAGGGCCGGGCACAGAGAGTGGTGGTGAATGGAGTTAAATCCAGCTGGCGACCGGTCGTGAGTGGTGTTCCGCAGGGGTCGGTGCTGGGGCCTGTCCTCTTCAATATCTTTATTGATGACCTCGATGAGGGCATCGAGTGCACCCTCAGTAAATTCGCAGATGACACCAAATTGGCTGGAAGTGTGGATCTGCCTGGGGGTAGCGAGGCCCTACAAAGGGATCTGGACAGGCTGGAGAGCTGGGCTGGAGCCAATGGGATGAGTTTCAACAAGGCCAAATGCCGGGTCCTGCACTTTGGCCACAACAACCCCAGGCGACGCTACAGGCTTGGGGCGGTGTGGCTGGAGGACTGCGTAGAGGAAATGGACCTGGGGGTATTGATTGATGCTCGGCTGAACATGAGCCGACAGTGTGCCCAGGTGGCCAAGAAGGCCAATGGCATCCTGGCTTGCATCAGAAACAGTGTTGCAAGCAGGAGCAGAGAGGTGATTGTTCCCCTATATTCAGCACTAGTGAGGCCGCACCTCGAGTACTGTGTTCAGTTTTGGGCCCCTCACTGCAAGAAAGACATTGAGGCCCTGGAACGTGTTCAAAGGAGGGCAACAAAGCTGGTGAGGGGTCTGGAACACAGGCCACATGAGGAGAGGCTGAAGGAGCTGGGAATGTTCAGCCTGGAGAAGAGGAGGCTCAGGGGAGACCTCATTGCTCTCTATAACTTCCTGAAGGGAGGTTGTAGTGAGCTGGGGGTCGGCCTCTTGTCTCGTGTCATTAGTGATAGGACCAGGGGGAATGATTTCAAGCTACGGCAGGGGAGATTCAGGCTGGACATGAGGAAGTATTACTTTTCAGAAGGGGTGGTCAGGCACTGGAATGGACTGCCCAGGGAGGTGGTGGAGTCACCGAGCCTGGGGGTGTTCAAGGAAAGACTGGATGTTGTGTTGAGGGACATGGTTTAATAGGAGCTTGGGAATAGGTGAACGGTTGGACTGGGTGATCTTTTAGGTCTTTTCCAACCTTAGTGATTCTATGATTCTATGTGTGTCCAACCTTTAGTCTTGCCTGGGCTGCATTAATTGAAGAGGAATTGTCTTGGGCTGCATTTACATAGGTCGCTTAAGAAGTAATATCTCCTACTTATTTCCACAGAAATGACAACAGACACAAAGAGCACAGTCGCATTGTTTGATAAAGAAAACTCACATCTACACAATGCTATTTTTCAACATAGTCACCACCATTAACTATGTGTTTTGGCCAGTGATGAACAAAAGCCGGCATACTCTGCTTGTAAAAATCTATCAGCAGAGGTGACCGATTATTGCTGTCTCCACTGCTGAAATGCACTACCCACTGCCTCACTATGCTGCTATCCACTATTTGGTGTCTATATACATATTCAGCAAGTGTTGATAAACATCAGTGGGTGCAATTTTTTTGGCACAGAGGAATTCATTTCTACAGCTTTGTCTCATACCCATGTCAGATGCCATTTTGTCAGACTGCCCCTTGGCTGCCATCTGTTGCACAGCAATAAACCCTAATGTTTGATTAGGGCTTAGGGGCTGGCTGGGTCACTTGGTGTGGCAGAGACACAGCCATTATGGTGCAGGACAGAGGGTGGGATGCATAGTGAGTTGTGTGATGCTGCACACAGCCTGCAGATTGGATAT